GACACACTGAAGCTGAGGTTGGAGGACTCAGGTGTTTAGTGACAGTCTTTTATTATAGAATTAGGAGGAGCAGGCCTCAGCTGTTCCATTAGCTTGGGACCATTCACTTCTGAGCCCATCAGAGGCATTGTGGGAGTGTAAACAGGAGCAAGCTTGAGGAAGAGAGATCGGTTTGGTAAATTCTATCATTTCTTCAAATATATCTACCTTGTGGCCCAGCAGACTTACATCTAGGAATTTATTCAATAGAAATATGAGCTTGATGCCAGGCATGGTGACCCACACCTTTCATCGAAGCACTTTGGGAGGCTGAGGCAGGCAGATTACTTGAGATTAGGAGTTTGAGACCAGCCTGACCAAATGGAGAAAACCCATCTCTACTTAAAAATATAAAAATTAGCTGGGCGTGGTGGTGCCTGCCCGTAGTCCCAGCTACTCGGGAGACTGAGGCAGGAGAATCACTTGAACCCAGGAGGTAGAGGTTGCAGTGAGCAAAGATCATGCCACTGCACTCCAGCCTGGCCAAGAGTGAGAGTCCATCTCAAAAAAGAAAAAAGAAATTTTAGCTTGAGGGCAGAAAGATGATGCGCTGAAGTCGTTCTTTTCAGCACATTTGGATCCAGTAGCAATTAGGAAATAACTTTTTGCTAAAAACAAGTAGTCTAGGGGTTATAAGCCCGAACCCTGCATTCAGATGCAGGCATTGTCACTTACAAGCTGTGAGATGGGACAAGCCATTGAGTCTCTCTGTGCCAGTCTTCACAGCTGCAAGATGAGCATAAGGAAAGCACCTGCTTTGTGAAGTTGATAAGAGGATTTAAAAAGCCAATACGTGTAAAGTGCTTAAAACCACTCCTGGACACTTAGTAAGCTCTGTAATGGTTAGCATTAATGAAAGAAAGAGAGAAAGAGGCCGGGGGAGGGAAGACAGGAAGAGAGAGGGAGGGAGAGGGAGAGAGAGAGAGAAAGCAAGCCTGGATGATCATCAAAAGAAGAAAAACAGTGGTTGGGCTCCGTGGTTCACACCTGTAATCCCCGCACTTCGGGAGACCATGGTGGGTGGATCACCTGAGGTCAGGAGTTTAAGACCGGCCTGGCCAACATGGTGAAAACCCATCTCTACTAAAAATACAAAAATTAGCCAGGTATAGTGCACATACCTGTAATCCCAGCTACTTGGGCGACTGAGGCAGGAGAATTGCTTGAACCTGGAAGGCAAAGGTTGCAGTGAGTGGCGATCACACCACTGCACTCCAGCCTGGGCAACAGAGTGAGACTCCACCTCAGAAAACTGAAATAAAATAAATGACGGTCATCCCATGGGTTACTCTGCAGCACAGAAAAAGAAGCCAATATACATGTGTGGACTTGCTCACTATATAGATAACTTTTCAGTGGAGGAAGCACGCTGCAGAGCAATAGATGGAACATAGTGCCATTTTCATTTTTAAAATACATGATGGGGGCTGGGCAGGGTGGCTCATGCCTGTAATCCCAGCACTTTGGAAAGTGGAGGCAGGAGGATCACTTAAGGCCAGGAGTTCAAGACCAGCCTGGACAATATAGTGTGACCCTGTCTCTACTAAAAAAAAATATATATATATAATGGTGTGCATGCATATGTGCTTGGCCACGCATGTGTGTGCATTAAAGAAGGACCAGGAAGCTCACTCTCCAGAGTGTAGACCAGCAGTCCCCAACCCTGGCACCAGAGACCACTTTCGTGGAAGGCAATTTTTCCATGAACCAGGGGTGGGGTGGGGATGGTTTCAGGATGCTTCAAGCACATTACATTTATTGTGCACCTCATTTCAGTTACTAGTGTGCATTGTAATATATAATGAAATAATTATGCAACTCACCATAATGTAGAACCAATGGGAGCCCTGAGCCTGTTTTCAGGCAACTAGACGGTCCCATCTGGGGGTGATGGGAGACAGTAACAGATCATCAGGCATTAGATTCTCAGAAGGAGCACAAAACCTGGATCCCTCACTCACACAATTCACAATAGGGTTCGTGCTGCTGCGAGAATCTAATGTTGCCGCTGATGTGACAGGAGGTGGAGCGTAGGCGGTAATGCGAGCGATGGGAGCGACTGTCAGTACAGATGAAGCTTTGCTGACTCCCCCGCATGCGATTGGTGGGAGCGGCTGTCAGTACAGATGAAGCTTTGCTCACTCCCCCGCATGCGATTGGTGGGAGCAGCTGTCTGTACAGATGCAGCTTTGCTCACTCCCCCGCCACTCACCTCCTACTGTGCGCTCAGTTCCCAACAGGCCAGGGCCTGATACCTGTCTGTGGCCACGGGGTGGGAGACTCTCGGGTCGACAGCAGGACCCTCTGGAGAAGGAAGGACCTGCACATTTTAAGCACTTTTGTACTGTATGACTTTGGCTACAGTAAATATGTGTTTCTTTTCTAATTAAAAAAAAAAAATCCAACATTAACAAATGGAGACGATAGCACTTCCATCTCAGGATTGCTTCAAGGGTTAAGTGGGATAGCGGGGAAAGCTCTTGGTGAGTGATTGATAAAGCTTAACAAGTGATAGTTCCTTTTCCTTAAAAAAAAAATGTAGTAAGTGGTTTGTGATACTGATTGAGAGTTTTGCCCTGTAGAGAATCAAATTTTATATTAGCATAGATTTTTAAATGTTTCAGTGTTTCTGTCGGAAATTACTACTGGCTGGGGGGTCTTGGGTGAATCCCTTCACCTCTCTGGGCCTCTGTGTCCGCTGTAAAACAGAGATACTAGTGCCTGCCCTCAGGGCACCTGTGATATAGTAAGAATATCATTTAAAGCCTCCAAAACACCTAGCCCCATGCCTGACACATAGTAGATGCTCAACAAACACCCACTTCCTCTGTGTGCTTTCCTGTGGATGGGAAGAAGCTTCCTCTAGGTGAAGCGGTGAATTGGGTGGGATATGGAGAAGCAGAGATGCATGAGACCCTTGAACGCCAGGTCATGGAGAAAGAAGAGGTCCATGGTGTGGCCTTGAAGGGTGTGTAGAATGTAAGTGGACATAGATGGTGAGGATGAGGGGCTGTTCCCCCTATGCATAAGCTTAGAGATGGGAAGGGATGGGCACAGATGGACTGAGGGCCTCTGCTGGCCACCATGATACACACAGAGATAGAGGGACCATCGGAAACCCCGCCGACAAGCCACCAGGTAACTGAAGTAAACAGAGGCAACTTGGGATGAATATTGCCCCCCTTCAAAATTAGAGCTGGGGTTAGTGGTAGCGGTCAGGGCCTGAAAGGGGAGTGGAGCATGGAGGGCCCATCCAGTTTGGCTATCAGAAGACCTCAGGTTCCAGCAGAATCACACAATGACAAAAGATGCCAACAGCAGCTGGCTGGCCCCCAGCCCATTTGACAGTGGAGAAGCGCAAGGCCACCCCCAGGACCTCAGAAAAGGACCCAGAACCTGTGCCACAGCCTGTCCCATCCTACTCTTCGGTAAACACAAATGTCCCAGCTCCATCAAAGCGCTTCCCAAGAGATCATGGGGGCACGTGGGAGGCCACAGAAGCTGACTTCGCTGGGCAGAGGTGCCCCAACCAGGGCCCGCCCATCCCAGGTGGTCTCTCTGTTGCTGTGCCTCTAGTTCAGCTCCTGAATTTGGGTCCATTCAGCAAAGAGCCTTGGAGCCTCGTGGTGAGTGCTAAGCAGGGTGGGGCTTTGGAGACCCAGAAGGCAGCACCCACCCATTCCAGGATCTCCCAGAGCTCACAGCCTCATGTCACCAGGAAGATGAGGTGCAGAAAGTAAAGCCATGAAGACCCCAGGGAGGAGGTGGCTCTGGTTGAAGCCATGGTGGGAGGCTCAGCAGATGATGGACGATGGGACTTCAGTGACTGGCATCAGGATTTGGGGAGAACGTGGACAAAGTGTGAGTGAGGGAGGGTGGAACAGGTCAGGAAGAAAACAGTGGTGGCTGCCAGGTCTTCATAACCACTGCTGGCTGCCCTCTCATCCATTCCTGTCTTCACAGAGGAGGAAATGGGCTCAGAGAATAGGGTAGGTGGGATAATGAGGAAAGAGCGGGAGACATGGCTGGAAAGGGGGTCCCCAGGCCTTAAACACTAGGATGAAACAGACTCGAGACCACCCATCCTGGGGCCCTGGCAGTGCCACGCACCCCTTCCTGACCATGTGAAACAGCCCTGTGCCGGAATTCAGAAACCCTGGACTCAGTACACAGCACCTTCAGCTACCATGTGGCCTGGCCGTCCCTTTTCCTCCCCAGGCCCACATTTCCCCATCAGTCTGAACTCCTTCTGCAAGATCTCTGGAGGGAACCCTGAGCAGTTCCCCATTGTGACCAAAGCCATCAGATGGAGCTGCCTGACTGTGCATTTATTTGCTGGGAGATGCTTGACTGTGCGCCCATCAGGGGCTGCCTGACAGTGCATTTGCTGGGAGATGCCTGACTCTGTGTTTGTCGGGGGCTGCCTGACAGTGCATTTGCTGGGAGATGCCTGACTGTGTGTTTGTCGGGGGCTGGCTGACTGTGCATTTGCTTGGAGATGCCTGACTACGTGTTTGTTGGGGCTGCCTGACTGTGTGTTTGTCGGGGGCTGCCTGACTGTGCATTTGCTGGGTGATGCTGACTATGCGTTCACTGCACATTCTTAGTGTGCAGCAGCAAGGGTCAGAGGGTGGGAAGGGGTGGGCCACTCACTCTACCCTAAGAATGCCTTTAGAGGAGCTGGCCTGGGCTCAGCAGGCCAGGATAACCAAGGAGAAGCAGTGACCCTGCTCCCCACTCCTGAGGAGGGTCTCCACCTCTCTGGGTCCCTGGTGCTGGCTTGGGACCTAGAGTTGATTGGATGCTCCCTCTGCCTCAGTGTCTGCCCCTCAGCTCCAGGGAAGCTTCTAGGCTGTATGAAGACCCTGGCAGCCAGCGGGGATGCCAGACTCCTCCTTTGTGGAGGCTGGGAATGGACGCAGTGGCCCCAGACTTGACCTCCGCCCCTCGTGTCTTCACAGAGACTTACTGCCCTTCACGCTGCGGCTGCCCCAGGCCATCCTTGAGGCCAGCAGCTACACGGACCTTGAGACCATCGCCAACCTGGGTCTGGGTGAGTCCTCTCCAAAGGGCCGGGGGAGCTGGTGGGGCCTTAGGATCTGACGCCCTAGGATCACCCCAGGGGCTGCCTGTGCAGAAGGACAACCTGAGTCACAGCTCTCATGGGACACCCGCAACCCTGCCTCAGGCTCCCAAGCCATGTGGTAGGGAGATTGTTCAGTTTCCAAAACACTGCCTCTATCAGCTGCCCAGGACACCCTGAGGCACAGCCATGTTTGGTCTGAGGGAGCAGGGCCTGGTCAGGACCAGAGAGATTGGTGTGGTCCTGGGAGAAAGTGAAGCTCAGCCCCAGGGTCCTTCTGAGTAGGGGCCAAAGAGCTGGGGCCGGCAGCCACCACAGCCCTTGCCCCTCATCAAATGAAAAAGCAGCACCAATATGTGACCATGAACTTGAGTGTGGCCCTCGCCGGGGCCTGTCCCGTTCCCAGATAACTGACCCTAAGTACACCCCACCCCACCCTTCTGAGCTCCTGAGGGGTGAAGAGGGGAGAGGAAAAGAAGGGGAGGCAGGGCCCGGTGTGTCTGACCCCAGCCCTTTCACAGAATTCTAAGAAGGATTCACGTTAGTGGGCTCCTCCATGTACAGGCTTTGCTGAGCGTCCTGCAAGGGTGCCATCTGCAGGTGCCCACCTAGAACTACGGCCTCACCTCACCGGCCCTCAAGTAGCCCAAGCATGCCATGTCTGGAACTGCCGAGAGACCGGCCCCTGCCTCTCTCAGAGTGTGTTGGGAGCAGAGAATTTTTCTTTTCTTTTCCTTTCTTATCTTTTTATTGAAACAGGCTATCGCCCAGCTTGGAGTACAGTGGCATGGTCACGGCTCACCCCAGCCCCAGCTTCCCAGGCTCAGGCCTCCTGAGTAACTGGGACTATAGGCACATGCCACCATGCCTGGTTAATTTCTTATATTTTACAGAGACACAGTCTCTCTGTGTTGTCCAGGCTGATCTCAAACCCCTGGCCTCAAGCGATCCTCCCACCTTGGCCTCCCAAAGTGCTAGAATTATGGGCATGAGCCACTGTGCCCTGCCCTGAGAATTTTCCAGAGAAAGAGAGAGCATGTTTCACACAGGCCGCTCAGGAGCCGCTGCAGGCCCCAGAGCCTCATAACCTGGGGCCGCCAGGTTACGTTTAAGAGCAAAGCAGTTCATCAGCAAGTCTTTAGCAAAACTCAGCCATACATAGGACACTGTGCTTCATGGGGCTGAGCACAGTGCCCAGAACATGGGTGCCCTGTTCACCAGTATTGGTGGAATGGAAGAAACAGTGGCCTAGAGGGCAGAACCAGGTCACAGAGGAAGTGAGGGGCAGACCTGGGATGAAAGACTACACCCCTTGGTTCCCAAGCCAGGCCACTGTTCACCACTCAGAGGGGTCCATCAGGGGCAGCAATGCAAGAGACACCACAAGGCAGCCGTGGTCAGGGGCCAGGAATTAGGAGGGTTCCGGTCCTTGGATGTTAGTGTTCCGTGAGCATGGACTGCATTCTAACCTCTTTAGCTGCATTGGCTTATCACAGCTTCAAACAATCCTATAAAGCAAGTGCTATTATTATAATTCCCCTTCTACGGCAGAGGAAACTGAGGCACAAGAGGTTAAGTCATGTCCAGTGTCACACGGCACATGGCAGGGCTGGGATGAACCCAGGCCGCTTAGCTGCCGCACCTGCCACCGTTTCATGGTGCCCCTTAACTCTTTCTCCAGATTCTTCTAGGTCTCATTTGCCCAGTTGTAAAACCAACGGCCAGTTTTCAGTTGCTACTGGAATAAACTTGCTATTAAACTTTGCTTCCCAGAATTTTAGTTTTTGGGTTCTTACCCTCCCAGGACCTCGGATATGGGACAGGTGACAGTTTGTAATTTGCATTTTTGTAAGATGCAAATGACCTTCCCTAGGGGTTGGATGACACCGACTGTTGCAGAGCGCTTGGCATTGTCTTATGTCATTTTTGTGCATTTTAAAGATAGAACACTGGCCGGGCACGGTGGCTTATGCCTATAATCCCAGCACTTTGGGAGGCCGAGGCGGGTGGATCACCTGAAGTTGGGAGTTCGAGACCAGCCTGGCAAGTACAGTGAAACCCTGTCTTTACTAAAAATATAAAAATTAGCCGGGCATGGTGGCATGTGCCTATATTCCTAGCTTCTCCAGAGGCTGAGGCAGGAGAATTGCTTGAACCTGGGAGGCGGAGGTTGCATTGAGATGAGATTGCCCCACTGTACTCCAGCCTTGGCGACAGACTGAGACTCTGCCTCAAAAAAAAAAAAAAAAAAAAAAAAAAAAGAACACAAGCTTTAGCCCAGCTGGGAACCTTGTGCAAAGTGTCCCAGATAAGAATTGCAACAAAGGCTTTCTGTCCACAGCGGTTCCTGAACAACTGCATGAAACATGCTCTCCTTTTCCCTGTAAGGAATCCTCAGGGCCTGGTGCGGTGGCTTCACCAGTGAAGCGCCCCAGATAGGACTTGCACCGAGAGCTTTCTGCCTCTGAGCATAGCCTTTCCACTGTTCCTCGGCTGTGCCTCCTCACCTTCTCTATTGTTTTTGCAGTGAGCAGTCAGTGGCCAGTTCACAGGCCACGTTGGTAGAGCAAGTGAGTTGCATGGCCTCAGTCTACGTCACATTGCTGTACCTCTTGACCCCACTATGGGGCTTAGGCAGGCATCCCTAGGACTGACTGCTGAGGACTCCCTGCTAGTTCTTCTCACCTGCAAGAGTGCAGCTTCTCCTAAGACCTAAGAATGTGCTTTTTTTGAAGGGAGATGTTCATCCTGGGAGAACTGCCTTCCTTTCTGGAATAGACAAGGCCTTCTCTCCTGGGAGAATTTGATTTCAGCACAAGGAGGAAGTGGAGAAGGGAGGTTTCCATTTGGGAAGCCAACAGCAGTTCACTTTCATCCGTCAGCACCTACCTCCTTGAGAACAGGATTTAAGTGTAAGCTGAGTATGTTGCAGCTTAGGAGCCAAACGGTTCTGTGCAGACCTGGTGTCCCCAGAGACATAAAGCCAGGCTCACCACAGTCATTTTTCCAGCCAAGCAAAATTTCACTTTTCAGTCATCTCCTGAACGACTGGAGACCCAGAGCAGAAGGAGCGTATCCTATCAAGGCCAGAGACTTTGGCCCTGGCATGGGCAGGCTTGGGCCCCGCCAACCTTCATGTAAAATAGTGCTAATAAATGTGCAAAGAGCGGCATTTGTCAAGGGCCCTGACACACCGGGTATTGTGCCTGGCATGTCACACATTGTTCTAGGAGGGACTTTGGTGGCAAAGAAGTGAAACTCACTCAAGCTAGCATAAAAAAGAGACTTAGAGACTAAGTACACCAGGGACCCTCTGAGAAATGGAGATGGAGGGTTAGCCAGGCTTTGTAGGTGACTGCAGCTGCTCTGTGCACACACCAGCCCCTTGCTCCCTGCACAGGGCTTCCTTGCTGACTCAGGTTCCTGCTCTCCTGCTCCCCTGACCAGCTGAGCTCTGACTCAGCTCACAGCCCCACCTGACCACTGTTCTTCATTCAGATTCTCCAAGGGGAATCCAGATGATCCCTGGCCAGCCTAGTGATGAGGCCCTGTGAGTCAGGGGTTACCTTGTGTAGTCAGCATTTCAGGGAAGACCAAAAGGACAATGGGGGGCAAATTCATTGCCCCATGCCCACACATACATTATCTCATTTATTCACAAAAAAAAGCCCATTTTACAGATAAGGAAATGGAAAGTTAAGGGGTCTAAAGAGTTTCTTCAGCTATAACAAGGAATGAAGTAAAGGTACTGGCACATGATGCAGCATGGAATAACCTGGAAAACATGCTAAGTGAAGGAAGTCAACACGAAAGACCACATATGTTACAGTTCCATTTGAAGAAAATGTCTAGAGTAGGCAAATCCATAGAGACAGAAAGCAGATTAGCGATTGCCAGGGGCTGGATGGGAAGGGGCACGGAGAGGTGGTGCTTCACATGCATGGGGTTTCTTTTAGGAGGTGATAAAAATGCTCTAAAATCGATTGTGGTGAGAATCACACAACTCAGTGAATATACTGAAAACCACCGACGTGTTTTTCAAATGAGTGAACTGTGTGGTAGGTGAGTGGTAGCTCACTAAAGCTGTTATCCAGAGAAAGAAAGGTCAACTATAGGGCCCTCCTCACTGGGAGGTAAACAGAAGCTGAATTCACACTCAGGGCTTGCTGAGTGTGAACTCCATGCTCTGACTGCGCTGTGCCCGGATTCTCAGCCAGCCTTTCTCACCGCTTCCCGCCCCTCGGCCCTCTCCCCTCCACTTGCTGCGCCTCCAGTGGAAAACAGCATGGCGCCCTTTTGCCAAGGCAGCCTGGATTTGGCATTGGGATAGGCAGGGCGGTGGTCCTCACCTCTGCACCATGCCCTCCATATGCCCCCTGCCATGTGCTGCTTTTCCTTATTACATCTTCTTTTTCTTTTCTTTCTTTTCTTTTTTTTTTTTTGGACAGAGTCTTGCTGTGTCCACCTCTCGGGTTGAAGCGATTCTCCTGCCTCAGCCTTCTGTGTAGCTGGGACGACAAGCCGCGCCACCACGCCCAGCTAATTTTTGTGTTGTTAGTAGAGATGGGGTTTCACCATGTTGACCAGGCTGGTCTTGATCTCTTGACCTTGTGATCCACTGACCTCAGTCTCCCAAAGTGCTGGGATTACAGGCATGATCTACCGTGCCCAGCCTACATCTTTTTTTCTTATGATAAAAGTCAAGCATGTTGTGTGTGCTTGTTTTTAACTGACAAGACCAGCAAAGGCTGAGGATGAAAACCATGCATAGTCTCACCACTGCTGCAGGTTTGGAATGTTTCCTTCCAGTTTCTTCTCCTTAATACACCTATACACAACTGAAAATACAGTTTTGGTTTCTTGCCTTCTGGTTTTGTTTGAATGTATTTGTGACTTTCAGCTTTCTCCCTAGAGCCCAGAGCCAGGGAGTGTCTAGTTAAGGCTAAAGATTTACTGGTTTTCAGTCCGCTGGATGATCTTGTAGTTACAGAAAGTTCATGAGGCGTATGTATTTCTTACCATTAGTGTCATCAATTTTATTGTTTTGGCATACTACTCATTTTTCTATGAGAAGAATGTAACAAATATCCAGAGAGTTGCACCAGGCCTGCACAGCTGTGATCTGGGTGAGCAGTCATGGGGTGTCCCAGCACCAGTGGGCAATTCTGTAATGCACCTCATGACGCCACCTTCGCCCACAGGAAATCTGGAGGTGGACACCGGGGGTCCCAGCTCACATGTGGGGCTGATATGCGGTTACTATGGGGTCAGCCTGGCTCCCTGCTTCTCCTTGCTCAGAAAACTCCCAAGGAGCTGTTGAGATAGGGACGATGTAGCTGAAACCCAGCTATTGACCGACAGGTTCAGCGCCATGCAATGGCTCACAGTGTGCATTCATGAGCCAATGTCATAAAGTCCAGTTAGGACTTGGAAAAGCCAGCGTTCGAACTTGCAGGCTGTATAAGGTGTAATCTTGTACTTTAAGAGCTTCCGGTGAGTCAAAGCCAAAAAACTAACATAGGGAGCAGCAATTCAGCGTGAAACTATATGCAGCAGTTGAGTAAAAGTCTAAAAGGAACTTGGAGAATAGGGGAAAGCCGCTTGTCGTGGTTTTCAAACATGTTTCCAGTGTATGTGTGTTTCAGACTTTAAAAATATGTTGAGGAAAGGCATATGTTCCGTGGCTCTTCCAAGTTTGCTTGTAACTTGCCTTTTCCTTTACATCAGATGATGAGCATTTTCCTACTTATTAAAACTTCATTGAAAACTTGGCTTCAAATGACTGCAACAGCCTGTCTTTGGGATGCCACATGAATATTTATTCACTGACCTCGCTGGATTTTTTAGTGTGTCCATAGCATCTGGAACACTTTGCTGCCTTTACTCATCTGCTTCCTGTCCTGCCACTAGCCCCAAGCTCCCCAGGGATAGAGCCTTAGTTTTCCCTTAGGACCTACAGCCTAGCTGTGATGTGACCCAGGTTCTCTAACGATTGAAAGAGTGGACATCTGGCAAGAGGTGTCCCCAGCCAACACTCAAGAGGTCTCGGGGCCAGCAAAATTGTGGCCTCGGTCTGAGGCCAGGGCAAGGCTGGGCCTTTGGGAGAACTGCAGCAGAGCCAAGGCTTGGTATGGTGCCTCTGGGCATCGGACCCCACAGCTTTGCCAACCAAACCACCAGGATTGCAAGACACAGGGTTCCGCTTCTCCTCTGGTCTTGGCGTTTGGCAGACTGCAGAGAAAGTTACCCACTTCCCTTTTTCTGGAGCATAAAGCCCTGCAATGCCACTGTGGTTCCCAAACAGGCCCCAAGACCCTGGACGCAGCCCTTTAGCTCCTGGCTTCCCCCACCCCTCGGAGTGGCATTGGCTTTGAGACCTTTGTCCCGCCAGGGTGCAAACCCCAGGCCTGTCTTAAGGCAGGGAAGCTGTTCTCAGTTACCCAGGCCTGGGGCCTATTTCCCTGAACCTATGTCTGCTCTGTTCCTGCCAAAATCCACACCTGAGCAATGGGAAATGTGCCCTTGGGTTCTGTGCCTCATGGACCCATCCTGTCCTGTGGCAGGCTGCCCAGCTGGTGCTCCATCCGCCTACGGGGCTCCTCTGCCCTCCTTCCTGACCCCCTCCTCTCACTGTCTTCTCTTTACACGTCCTCCCATGGTTCAGGTTGTCCCCATCTTGCCTTTAAAACTAACCTTGCCTGTGTTCCCTTCCTCAGAGGCCTGACTCTCTGCTCCGGCTAAGCTGATCTACTCATGGGTGCCAAGGGGCTGACCCGGGGCCCCTGCTCTGGCCAAGCAGGCTTAGGTGCTGGAAATACTCAGATAGCTGAAGCATTTGACTGCCTTCTGGAAGCTCTGAGTCTGGGGGGAAACTCAGGAAAAACTGGAGAATTCGAGTCCCAGTGATGGTCACTGCCGTCACAGGCACATCAGAGCTACAGGAACACAGGCGGGGTGGGCAAGGCCCGAGCACATCAGGGAGGCACCGCCGGACAGGTCACATTCGGCCTGAGCCTTGAAAGATGAGTAAGTGTTTGCCAGGTGGAGAGGGAGGGAAAATAATTCCATACAGAGGTAACAGCATCGGCCAAGACCCAGTGGTGGGGCCACGTGTGGCACATTGAGGAAGAAGTGAACAGCAGATAGCGTGGTGTGAAGACTCGGCAGATGGCGCCCAAAAGATGTGCAGGGGCCAGGTCCTGCAGCCTTGAATGCCAGGCTAAGGGGCTGAAAGTGATTCGCAACAGAGAGCCACCGAGGGCCTGCCGTACTCCTAGCCTAGGACCGCAGGAGAATGGAGCAGAGGGGACCACTATAGCCATGATCTGGGGGAGCAGTTATGGGGTATCCCGGCACCAATGGGCAGTTCTATATGTTATCTACCCCATGACACCACCTTTGCCCACAGGAAGAGTCTGGAGGTGGGTACCAGGGGTCTCAGCTCACATGTGGGGCTGCTGCTCAGTTACCGTGGGGCAGCCCAGCTGCCTGCTTCTCCTTGCCAGGAAAACTCCCAAAGGGCCAACTTCGTTGGGCCTATGTAGACATGGGCACGGTGCTTCAAACACTCCAGAGGCTAAAACATGTATGTACTCAACGCAAGGTGCCTGGGAGAGTGAGGCATTCATGGAGAAGCCAGGAGCTGCCCAAGAAAGTCATGAAGAGCAGCTCGTCCAGGCCCTGCGAGAGGCCACTCTGGATACTGTGACCTCGGTGACGGTGATGAGCACAGAGCTTTGCACATTGGAACGAGTCACAGGAAAGGTTGTCATGCTTGTTAATGTGATGACAGCTGGCATCTCTCCACTGGCTATGATATTCAGGTGGCCAGGCAGAGGGTATCTGCCCAGGACAGGGCTGGGGGTTGCACCTCAGAGAGACACACACAGCTGGTGGGCCGCAGCTCACTTCTGTTCTGTTTCTTCAATCCCTTTGTCCTGGGAAGGCACTTGCTTACCCTGATTGCAATGGCAACCCCTGGCCAGCAAGATGGCAAATGCCTATATCCTTGATAGTGCCCACCTCTTAGAGCGAGCACGTGCTCAGCTGCTCCAGGCCATCTTGTGAGGTCTCCTTGCAACATCAAGAGCCTGTTGTGTTGTTGCCACATCCTCAGTTCTGCGCTGCAAGCCTCCCTGCTCCTCACTGATGCTGGGACAGCAACCGACATGGGAAGTGGCGTAAGTTCCTGTGAAGGAAGCCTGCCTAACACACAGGCTCAACACACAGGGCACAGGCATAGAACCAGCCCGACCTGGCCAGATCCCCGCACCTCACTCTGCAACCCAGTGACTGGGGGCGAGTGCTTTCATGTTTCTGAGCTTCTTACCCTCATCTGTGAACTGGGTGTAAGGCCTGTGATTGGGCGGGTGAGATAACCCAGGTAAAGCAAGTAGTCAGCAGGCTCACCCACGGCCAGAACGCCATGAACGTTTGCCCCTCTGATTATCCTCCATGTCATTTTTCATAGTTTTCTTAAGGGTGAATTCCTCCCAGGAGTAAAGAGCCCTGGGTGAAAGGCTGGCCCACCAATTCACAAGGAACACTGCACCTGCCTGGGTAATCCCCTGTCCAGCTCCCAACCGAGCAGGCTGAACAAGACCTGGGACCCACGTTCCTCTCAGGAGGAAGCTCGAGTGAGCGCAGGGTGGGCTGTGTGCGGAAGGCAATTGTTCCCCAGATGTGACATCCCTGTGCTCTTTCTGGAAGTTCCTGAGCCTCCGTCAGATGCTTGGCAGGGTGTGGTCCTCACCGATCAAGAATACCTGTCCCTAGCCTGCTTTGGTGGCCACAGCCATGGCTGAGCCCCCGGGGACGGGGTCGGTAGAGAGGCACGCACTGCAATGCAGCTCCGTGGTGCAGGAGCCTTGGCTTCCCCCGACTGGGGCAGAGGACCAGCTTCTTTTAATCTAGAGATTGGCTGGAGTCAGAATCACTTTGTGGTAGGTGGGTTCTCCCTACTTGGACAGCCAGGTCTGATCTCGCCGGCCACAATCCATAGGCTCATTCTTCCTGCATGTAATGACCAAGGAGGCCAAAAAAAGGACCAAAGTTCCTTCCCCCTCGCACGCCTGAGATGTGTGTACTGTTGTGACCCCATTTTAGGGATGGCTAGACTGAGGCCTGGGAGGCTCAGCCCACCTGCCCCAGAGCACCCAGCTGGTTGGCTGAGGAACTCCAGGCCCTCTGTCCCCTGTGTCCTCAGCATGCTTCCCCACGGCTCCAGAGCACAGTGTTGTCACCCCCACCCTGTGTCATCAGTGCCCTCAGAGGTGGGCTCTCAGACCAAGGAAGAGAACTGAAGCTGAGCCTGTCACACCAGCCCCGGCCCGGCCCCACCCCGCCCCGCCCCGCCCCGCCCCGCCCCGCCCCGCCCCACACTGCTGGGGAGGACCCAGCGGGGCTTCCCCTCTTGAGGCAGGAAGTGGTGGGAGAGGTTTAAAAGCGTCCAAGAGGGGAAAACAACCCTCGGAGTAGTGAAGCAAATACCTTGAACAGCCCTCCCACGGCCCTGCCCCACCCCACCCGCAGACCCCACCCACAGACCCCGCCCACCACAGCAACCCTGGTGCCTGGTCCGCACTGACCACCTGCCCCTTTCTTGCTTCCACAGGCTTCTGGGACTCCTCGCTGAATCCTCCACGAGAAAGAGAGAAGCCAGGAGAGCCCCCAAAAGACCGCACCCCCGGATCGCCCCCAGTCTCCAGCCTCAGGCCCACAGCCCGTGACGCAAACTGTGCCTGTGAAATCGAGCTGGCGATAGGAAATGACCGCTTGTGGTTTGTGAATCCCATTTTCATCGAGGACTACAGCGGTGCCCTGCCCACTGACCAGCCACCTCTTGGAAACTGCCCCGCACACCCCTTGCCACCCACCTCTGATGCTACCTCGCCCACCTCCAGGTGGGCCCCACGCCGCCCGCCGCCCCCTCCCCCAGTGCTGCCCCTGCAGCCCTCCAGCCCAGCCCAGCCCCCTCTGCTTCCTGCTCCTGCCCCCACCCCTGCCTGTCCTTTGCCCAGCTCTTCCCCCGTGCCTGCCCCCCACGTCACACCCCATGCCCCAGGTCCCCCAGATCATCCAAGCCAGCCGCCCATGACAGCCTGCGAGAGACTCCCACGCCCCACCGCAGGCCTGGGCCGCCTCAGGGAGGAAGCCATGAAGCCAGGGACAGCCTCCAGCCCCTTGCAGCAAGCCCCTGCCCCACCACTGCCAGCAAAGAAGAACCTTCCCACTGCCCCTCCCAGACGACGCATTTCTGAGAGGGTGTCCTCAGAAGACCAAAGTGCAGGGATGGCGGCAGAGGGGGACCAGCTCAGCCTGCCTCCCCAAGGGACCTCAGACAGCCCTGAGGACACGCTCCAGGGGAGCACAGAGCAAGGCCAGGAAACAGAGGTGAAAGCCAGCGATCCTGACAGCATGCCGGAGCTACCCAGGAAGGCCAAACAACCCCCAGTCCCACCGCCCAGGAAAAAAAGGATCTCTCGACAACTGGCCTCAGCCCTCCCTGCTCCCTTAGAGAGCGCCGAGCTCTGCACACAGGAGATGGCTTTGGAGACACCCATGCCGGGTACACCCAGAGATGGCCAAAGCCCTGCACCCCAGGCTGGGACTCAGCACCCCCATGTCCCGGCTGCCGCCCATGCCCAGAGCTCTCCAGAGTTCAAGGGCTCCCTGGCCTCCCTCTCGGACAGCTTGGGGTTGCCTGCCACGGCCGCTGACCAGGACTCCTACTCGACCAGCAGCACGGAGGAGGAGCTGGAGCAGTTCAGCAGCCCCAGCGTGAAGAAGAAGCCCTCCATGATCCTGGGAAAGGCGCGGCACCGGCTGAGCTTCGCCAGTTTCAGCAGCATGTTCCACGCTTTCCTCTCCAATAACCGCAAGCTGTACAAAAAGGTGGTAGAGCTGGCGCAGGACAAGGCCTCGTACTTTGGCAGCCTGGTGCAGGACTACAAGGTGTACAGCCTGGAGATGATGGCGCGCCAGGCCTCCAGCACGGAGATGCTGCAGGAGATCCGCACCATGATGACCCAGCTCAAGAGCTACCTGCTGCAGAGCACCGAGCTCAAGGTCCTGGTGGACCCTGCCCTGCACTCTGAGGAGGAGCTCGGTCAGTGCCCTGGGAGGAGGCGGCAGGGAGGAGAGGGCGGTGGGGCTCATAGACTCAGGAACCCTTAGGACAAGAGAGGCCTATGCAGCGGACACTGTTGGTGCCCACCCCCCATCCCCTTTCCTGAGCACCAGCACCTTTCTCCAGCTGCTGCAAGGTAGGCTGGTAATGGTGCACGGCTCCCCCCTTTCCTAGAGCATAGACCTTGGCCGAATAGGATCTATATGATCTGCACCCTGTCTTCCACCACCAGTGGCCCACTGCCCATTACTCCCTGCCATGGGGGAACAGAGACTGGCCCCTTTGCCTCAAGCAGGACCACTGCGTGATGCAGTTTATGCTCGGGGGCCCGGTGAGATCTGGCTGAGGCTGACAGTTCCTCCTTGCTCAAGCTTGCTCTGTGGCTCCCCACTGCTCTCACGCCCTGTCTGTCTTCTGAGTATCTCCGCAGTGAAATCACACGCACCCAGATCCCACTTTCAGGCTCTGCTTTCAGGGAGCCAGCCCAAAACAGCTCACTCCTCTGACCAGCCCTTCTAAAGTAGCCTCCAGCCTTCCCCACCCTCACCAGCCTCAAGTCCGATAATGATCAAAGCTTTTTATGATTGTGGTTCCCCGTGAGAAGTAGTTGTGATCAACCACACACCTACATATATTAAAAATATTCAGACCAGGCGCAGTGGCTCAAGCCTATAGTCACAGCACTCTGGGAGGCCAAGGCAGGAGGATCCCTTGAGCCCAGGAGTTTGAGACCAACCTGGGCAACATGGCAAAATCACGTCTTTACAAAAGATACAAAATTTAGCCAGGCGTAAAGGCACGCGCCTGTAGTCCCATCTACTTGGGAGTCTGAGGCGGAAGGATTGCTTGAGCCCAGGAGGCCAAAACTGCAAAGAACCAGCATCCCACCACTGCAGTCCAGTCTGGATGACAAAGCGAAACCCTGTCTCAAAAAAAAAAAAAAAAAAAAAAAATACATTTTGTCAGCTCGCACTGCTTGGCCAAGGTGGTTGCTAAACACTTAGCTGCTTCTGAGCTAGTTGGCAAATAATCCCCTGGCATCCCTAAGCCTCTCCTTCCCCACCCAGTCATGAAAGTCTGTGCTGGGCACAGTAAGGGACATGTGGGGCTCTGAGCACAGCAGATTCATAGTGAACGTTTCTTAGAAAAGGAGCTTTGGGTGTTCCTTTCCAGGGCTTCTGGATTTTGCTAGCAGACTCCTGAAAATTGATAGGTTTGCCAGGCCACAGGATTAATGGTGGCATTTCAGGCGTGGCGAAGGGTGGTGGGATTGAGACCTGAGGCCAGTGCTGTGAGTGTGACTGCCCAGGCCCCTGTAAGCAGATAGTCGGCAAAGAGTTATTGGGCACCCGACTGCCTCAGGTATTAGCTCAGATCTAGAGACAGAGGTGAGCAGCTCACTCAAAGGTTCCTGCCTGCAGGGAGCTTACAGTCTAGCAGGGGTGACAGGCAATCCGCAAGAAGAATGAGTAGGGCCGGGTGCAGTGGCTCACGCCTGTAATCCCAGCACTTTTGGGAGGCCGAGGCAGGCAAATCACCTGAGGTCAGGAGTTTGAAACCAGCCTGGCCAACATGGTGAAACCCCCTATCTACTAAAAATACAAAAATTAGCTGGGTGTGGTGGCACACACCTGTAATCCCAGCTACTTAGGAGGCTGAGGCAGGAGAATCACTGGAACCTGGAGGTGAAGGTTCCAGTGAGCCCAGATTGTGCCACTGCACTCCAGCCTGGGAGACAGAACGAGACTTTGTCTCAAAAAAATAAAAATTAAATTAAAGAAACACAAATAGAAAAATCAACTGGGCATGGTGGCGTGCACCTGTAGTCCCAGCTACTCAGGTGGCTGAGGCAGGAGAATAGCTCGAATCCTGGAGGCAGAGGTTGCAGTGAGCCAAGATTGTGCCACTGCACTCCAGCCTGGGCAACAGAGCAAGACTCCATTGAAAGAAAGAAAGAAAGGAGAGAAAGAGGGAAGGAAGGAGGGCAGGAAGGAGGAAGGGAAGGAGAGAGAGAAGGAGGGAGGAAGGGAGGGTGGAAAGAAGGAAGGAAGGCAGGCAGGCAGGCAGAACTCTGACGTGTAATAAGTAAGGGCATGTGGATGGGAGTGAGGTCAGGAGGCTGTTGGGGGCAGGACCCCTGGGACCTCGTGAGCCCCTCTGTAGACCTGGCTTTTCCTGTACGTGAGATGGGGTCATGCAGGGTTCACGTCCAGGGGTGAGTAATCTCACTCACATGTGAACAGCATCACTCTAGCCATAGTGCCAAGTGGGAGCAGAGAGACTCAGACTCAGTGTGAGGCCACTGCTGTCACAGCCGAAGTGAGCAGTGAAGGTGGCTGGGGCCAGGCCGGAGGCAGCACAGATGGGGAAACGTGGTTGGGTTCTGGGCCTGTTGTGACGCTGGAGCCGCAGGACTGGCTGGAGCCTGGATGTGGGAGTGGGAGAGGGGAGGTAGGATGTGTCCAGGCAGTGTTGTCCCTGGGAGGACAGCGTCCATTCTGGGGCAGGCACTGGGGACAAGTTGAGGAGCTTGGTTTGGGACATGTGACAGTGGAGATGCTTATTAGACACCAGGTGGGGAGGTTGCGCCGGCCTTAGAGGGCCGAGTCTGCAGTTCTGGGGCTAAAGAGAGCTGTCTGGGAAGTGTCAGCACAAAAGAAGCCATGAGACTAGATGAGATCATCTGGGTCTAAGAACTGAGCCCCAGGCACCATGTAGACCAGGAGGGCATGGAAGGGCATGGGGGGACATGGAAGGACATGGAAAACTCAAAGTGGCCCAGAGGAGGCTGTGGTCAGCCCTGCCTTCCAGTGTTGGGGGAGTGTAAGAGCTGAGGCCCAAGGGAGGAGTCAGGGGTGCTGAGCCATGGAAAGGGTGGTGGAAGGACTTTTCTTCTGGAAAGGGATGACAACATGGACAAAGGCAGAGAGGTGGGGAATGAGGCTGGAGGGTCACGGGCCATTCACACAGGCAGTGAAAGTCAGCCTGAGGATTTGGCCCAGAGGCAATGGAGCCCCCCGCAGGGTGTGTGTGCAGGGCAGAGCAGAGGGAATGAAATGGGGACTGCTCAGGAGGCTGGGGCGGGGCAAGGCTAGTACCCTGTGGCCTTCAGCAGAGCAAAGGAGGTAGAGCCAAGCTGGACCCCTGCTGAAAGCAGCAGGAGTGACTCCAGCCTCAGGGCCGCCGGCTGGCAGGAGGAGATATACCATGGGTCCTGTTAAGGCCAACTCTGTGTTGGGCATCAGATGCCAAGAGGTGCTAGACTTGGAGTCTGTCCTGGCAGGTGATGTGGCAGAGTGTCACCAGTGCCTGTCGTGGCACAAATGTGTGGGGCAGAGAGGTTTCCAGGCAGCGGGAGGTGGCGGCTGAGCTGAGCCACCAAGGACAGGGAGGGCTGGAGCTGCAGAGATGGGGAGAAGGGCCCTCCAGAGGGTGGGAACAAGGTCAGCTCCACAGCAGCAGTGTCATTCCAGACACTGCACGTGCCAGCCTTATGATTGCAAGCCAGACCCGATGGGCCTAGCTACTATTGCGCCCAAGAAACCACAGCTCAGAGAGGTTCGGTGACCTAGCCATGAGGACAGAGCTGGTAGCAGCGCTGGGCTTCAGACCCACGCAGCCCAGCCCTTTCCATGAGCTGAGTGCTCTGCCTCTGCCTCTTCCTTCTGAGCTCTGCCCATGTGAGCAGTCAGATGGTGGAGGAACTTAAACCACATAAAAGGCCGGACAGGGGTGGGCATGGTGGCTCACCTGTAATCCCAACACTTTGGGATGCCGAGGAGGGCGGATCACTTGAGGTCAGGAGTTCAAGACCAGCCTGGCCAACATGGCAAAAGCCCATCTCTACAAAAAATACAAAAATGAGCTGGGCATGGTGGTGGGCGCCTGTAATCCCAGCTACTCAGGAAATTGAGGCACGAGAATCGTTTGAACCGGGGAGGTGGAGGTTGCAGTGAGCCAAGATCACACCATTGCATTCCAGCCTGGGCAACGGAACAAGACTCTATCTCAAAAAAAAAAAAAAAAAAAAAAAAGGGCTGACAGAACTCCATGCTTAGGGTGCTTGTGGTTTTATTAGGGAGACATGTCACAAGGAACAGTTAGAGCAAAACAGTCCTAGCGCGTGGCTGGTGAGGGCCTGAGCCTGCGGGAGAGGAGGTGCCAGGAAGAGAACCTGCAGCTCTTAGATGTGAAGGGGCCAGGAGGGCGTGGACACAGCCCTCTCATTTTGCAGTTCAGGAAACAGGCCGTGGGAGAGGAAGGGACTTAGCCAAGGTCATGCAGAAGCCCAGGACAGTGGGCAAGTGCAAGCCCCTGCTCCCAGGTCAACTCCATCTGCTCCCATCTCTACCTGTGGAGGCTCCAAGGATAATGAGGTCGGGAGGTGGGCATGGAAGGAGGATCAGGAGCGGACTGAGGGAGGTGAGGGCAGCCCTGTGTTCTGCTGAAGGGGAAGAGGGAGGCAGCAGCAAGGGACCAGGGTGGCCATGGGTCAGCCATGGGGAATCAGTGGTCTCTATTGAGACCCAGTCCCGGGGGAACATGAGCCCCCCCCTCTCCCAGGTCTGGGGCAGCCCAGGTGTCTCCCTCAAGGAACAGGACTTGGGACCTGCCCTTACTGGGCCCATAGCCAAGACCCATCCTCTGGAGACAGAGCAGAGCCAAAACAACTTCCTGAGAATATGTTCCTACAGTCACCCAAAGCAACGGAGCCTCCCTTGGTGTCAGGTAGACATGAGTTCAAGTCCTCGTTCAACCCCCAACCCACCCCATGAGACCCTAAGTTGGTCCATCTTCAGAGTGGGGATCAGAGCACATAGGCCTCAGAGCAGCTACAAGAGCAGAGCACCAACTCCTGCTCCAAGAGCAGATCTGACTGCCTGTCAGATAGGACGGCATTCAAACAGTGAAGGAACGAGCCGTGTGGACAGCCGCAAGGCCACTGTGCCACGCAAAGCGAACTGCAGGAGCAAAGGCCCTGGGGCAGGAGCAGGCCTGGCAGTTGGTGGAACAGCCTGAGCACGCGGAGCAAGCAAAGCAATGAGTGAACGGCCACAGGGCTCGATCACAGGAGGGCCTCCCAGGCCGTGGCAAGGCTTTGGCTTTGGCTTTGATCTGCTTGCATGGGAGATGGGGGCCATTGGAGGTTTCCAAACAGAAGAATGTCATGATCAAAGATGTCATCACAGGACAGCACCAGCTGCCGTGTTGAGAAGGGACTGTAAGGGCCAGGGCAAAAGCCGACTGACATAACCCAGGCAAGAGATGATGGCGGTAGCCTGACCAACCCAGGTCAAGGTAGTACCCATGAAAGTGATAAAAAGTCAGGTTCCAGGCCAGGCGCGGTGGCTCATGCCTGTAATCCTGGCACTTTGGGAGGCCGAGGCAGGTGGCTCACAAGGTCAAGAAATCGAGATCATCCTGGCCAAGATGGGGAAACCCCATCTCTACTAAAAATACAAAAATTAGCTCTGCTTGGTGGCACACACCTGTAGTCCCAGCTACTGTGGAGGCTGAGGCAGGAGAATCACTTGAACCAGGGAGGCAGAGGCTACAGTGGGCCGAGATTGCGCCACTGCACTCTGGCTTGGCAAAGGGGAGACTCTGTCTCAAAAAAAAAAAAAAAAAAAAAAAAAGTCAGGTTATGGATATACTGTATTTTTGAGATTAGCATCAAGTGGGTTTGGGAATGGGAAGGGAGTTATTAAGAATAATTCTACCAGTCATTTACTGGGCATTCAGGCCATGAACTTACAGCTGCCCAGGTTGTGCACTGCACAACTCCAGTATAAATAGCACCCTCTGAAGTTATGTACTCATAGGCATCCCTGTGAGAGTTTGCGCTCTGCCAGGCCCTGTGAAAAGCATCAGGATACAATGACCAGTTAGCATTAGTCCCCAGGGGCTCCTGTGCCAGTGCCTCTCCAGTGTGGCTTTCTGTTGAATATACTACGCTCTCTCGTGTGTCAGAACCACAGGGTGTAACTGCTGGGGCTGTGAGTGTCCTTCCAGGGGCCAGGGGATGGGGATGCTGTGCTGTTGGGCAGCAGAACCAGGTGGCAGGATCCCTGCATCTGGTTTCCTCACCCTTGCTCTCTTGTTCACCTGCAGAAGCAACTGTAGAGTCTGCCTTGTACAAATGTGTCCTGAAGCCCCTGAAGGAAGCCATCAACTCATGCCTGCATGAGATCCACAGCAAGGACGGTTCACTGCAGCAGCTCAAGGAGAACCAGCTAGTGATCCTGGCCACCACCACCACTGACCTAGGTGTGACCACCAGCGTGCCGGAGGTGCCCGTCATGGAGAAGATCCTGCAGAAGTTCGCCAGCATGCACAAGGCCTACTCGCCCGAGAAGAAGATCTCCATCCTGCTTAAGACCTGCAAACTCATCTACGACTCCATGGCCCTCGGCAACCCAGGTCAGTGGGCAGCCTGGAGGGGTCTGGGCGAGGAGCTGTCTTTGTATGGGCCCATGACCCCTCCCTGACAGGGACTCCAGAGCTCTTAGAAGGCCGCAGACTGCCCAGATTCAGATCAACCTTGGAGAGGAACTAGGGGTGGGTGGGGGTGCAATTCCTGGGCCCTCTTAGAGTTACCTGGGGACTGGGAGGAGAGCCATGATTGGCAGCTGCCCTGGAGGCAAGTGAGGAAGCCAGCCCAAACCTTAACTTTGTGTGAATTAGGAAAAGCATGGTGTTAGTTTCCTAGGGCTTCTGAAACAATACCACAAGCTGAGTGGCTTAGCCAGTAGAAGTGTATTGTCTCAGTTTTGGAGGCTGGAAGGTTCAAGATCAAGGGGCAGGCAAGGCTGGGCTCCTTCTGAAGATGCTGGGGAAGGTTCTGTTCCTTCCGAGCTTCTGGTAGCTCCTTGGCTTGTGGCCGCAGAATTCTGATCTTCATGTGGTGTGCTTCCTGTATGTGCGTCTGTGTTCCAATTTCCTCATTCTGTAAGAATGCCAGTCACATTGGATTAGGGGCTCACCCTTCTCCAGTATGACTTCATCTCAGCTCATTACAGCCACAACGACTCTATTTCCAAATAAGGTCACAGTCTTAGGTACTGAGGGTTAAGACTTCAACATATAAATTTTAGGGAACACAATTCAACCCCTAACAGGTACCCTAAACAATTAGCATTGATTTGACTCCTAAGTCTACGGGGCATGGACCACTATCTGATCTTAGTCAGCCGTGCCTGAGCTTGAGGGGGCTTACTTATGGGTCTGTGGTCAGAGGTGGGTCAGTTGGAGGCCAGCTAGTCTGGGATGGCCTTGCTTACATGCTGGGTGGGTGGTTGGCTGTTGGCTGGTCTGGGATGGCCTGCCCACATGCTGGGTAGTTGGTTGGCTGTTGGCTGTTCTGGGATGGCCCTGCCCACATGCTGGGTAGTTGGTTGGCTGTTGGCTGTTCTGAGATGGCCTTGCTCACATGCTGGGTGGGTGGTTGGCTATTGGCTGTTCTGGGATGGCCTTGCTCACATGCTGGGTGGGTGGTTGGCTATTGACTGGTCTGGGATGGCCCTGCCCACATGCTGGGTGGGTGGTTGGCTGTTGGCTGTTCTGGGATGGCCCTGCCCACATGCTGGGTGGGTGGTTGGCTATTGGCTGGTCTGGGATGGCCCTGCCCACATGCTGGGTGGATGGTTGGCTGTTGGCTGGTCTGGGATGGCCTTGCTCACATGCTGGGTGGATGGTTGGCTGTTGGCTGGTCTGGGATGGCCTTGCCTACATGCTGGGTTGTTGATTAGCTGTTGGCTGTTCTGGGATGGGGATGACTGAGCCACAAGTTTCTCATCCTCCAGCAGATTAGCACAGGCATGGGCCCATGACAGTAGCTGGGCCCAGGAGAACAAAGCCTGCAAGGCCCGTTGAGGCCCGCCCTTGAGCTTGTGTGACGTCACTCTCACACCTTTCATTGACTTGTTTACGCACAGGACCATCCCAGACTCCAGGAGTGAGGAACATTTCCCCTCTTGACGGAAAGAATACAAAGGCACATTGTAAAGGGTGTGGATATGGGGAGGGGAATCCGTGGGACCATATGTAATCGTGTGACTTTTGACTACAGTCCCCCAGGCAAACATGAACAGGCATCACTGCGCGCTGGGGCACAGCTCAATGAAGAAAATGCTGGCAGGATTCATCACTTCAGCTGATGGCCTTGTGCAGTGAGCAAACTGTGTACCTGGACACGGCTGCCATGGTAACAGAGAGTGGATGGATAGCCACCTCTGTAGACTCACAGACGTGGGTTCAAATTCCTGATCAGTCACTTACTACCTGTTTTACCTCGAACGATTTACTTAACTCCTTAGAGCCCAATTTCCTCACCTGAGGAAGCTGCTTTACAGAGAGGGTCCCTAAGACCCCTAATGGTTTGGAAGCCATACTCAGTCACCTGTGAGCATTAGAAGCAATGCATGTAAAATGATGGCCTCCATGCATAGCACCCGGCAGGCTCAACACACGTGGCTGTGTTAGGAGACGAATCTCTTCCTCTTCCCTGGAGAAGGGCAGGCCGGTTTGGCCATTGACCAACAGAAAGCAATTGTGGGGTGTGATGGGGGTATGGTGCCAGACCCCCTCGCCCGAGAAACCTTTCCTCTTCCATCTGGTACGGGCCACAATTCCAGGTTAGAGTCCATTTTTGTGTCAAACTGATTCGTGTCCCGCGACCATGTGTTAGAATTGTGCGCCCTGAAAGCAGACACTATACCGAGGCGAATTCCATATTAACACTTCATTCAGCCTGATGTTGGAGATGTAATGGGAAGAGAGAGAGTTGTACAACCAGAATGTAGTGATGTGTTTGTTTTCACAGAGTGGACATGAGGCTCAGAGGTCGGGTGTCCTGTGCAGCCTGGAGCTCGGAGAACAGGGCCAGAATGTGAACTCCTCAACTGAGTAACCTCCAGGAAAATCCCCAAAGAAGTAGGTGGGGGGCAGCAGGCAGCCTGCAGAGCCCAGAGCTCTTGGCAAATTTGACCTGGTCAGCCCCAGAGGACTGGGATCCAGGGAAAGAGTCAAGTATGCCCTGCCAGGCAACATGAGATGGAGGGTTAAGACCCTCTTGTGGCCTGGCAAAGGGTGTCCGAGAACGAGCGGGGCCTTCTCGAGCTTTCTCGGAGAGAGGCAGTTCTGGAACTCTCTGCAGCAGCAGGGGCCAGGGAGGGAAGCAGGCCAAGAGGTGTCCTATGAGGCATGCAGGGGAGCAGCCGTCAGATTGGATCAAGGCAGAAAGGAGACAGAGACCTGGGGGACCCTCTGCTGGGAACAGCCTCTGGGAGAGCAGGCAGGCTGGACCTGGGACCCTGCGGGGACATCGAAGAGCAAGGTCCAGGCTTCCTTGCCGGTTCTGCTGCTTCTCGGCTTCTGGCTGTGTTCAGATGACTTAGGTGCTCAGCCTCAGTTTCCTCTTGTGTTCAGTAGGCACAACCACAACCGCCTTGCAGACCTGTCTTGAGGTTTAGACGAGTCTGGAGTTTGCATGTTGCCCAGCTGCTGGCCCTTAGTCACAATAGCTATTGATTGGTTTCAATGCTGAGTTTCTAATTAGGGAAATTGTTTCCCCTGGGACTTGCTGGGCTTGGTGGTAAAAGTCAGGGCCAAGGGTTTTATAAGACATGATCAGGAAGACAGCTTTGGGCTGAAAAGGGCATTTCCATTCTTGAGGAGTCCCAGTTTATCCAGAAATCTCTGGCTTCCTGGAATTCTTTTTAAAACCCCATGAGGGAGCAGCAACATTAAAACACCATGATTTTTTTTTTTTTTTTTTTTTTTTTAGACAAAGTCTCATTCTGTCACTCAGGCTTAAGGACAGTGGCATGATCCTCCAGGCTCAGGCAATCATCCCACCTTAGCTTCCTGAGTAGCTTGCAATACAGGCATGTGCCACCACACCTGGCTAATTTTTGTATTTTTTGTAGAGATGGGGTTTCACCGTGTTGCCCAGGCTGGTCTCGAACTCCTGAGGTCAAGCAATTTGCTTGCCTCAGCCTCCCAAAGTGCTGAGATTACAGGTGTGAGCCACCACACCCAGCCTGACTTTTTTCAATTGACAGATAAAATTGTATGCATTTACTGTTACAACATGATGCTTTCAAGTATGTATATATTGTGGAATGACCGAATCTGTCTTTGTGTTGATAATCAAACACCGTGATTTTTGCTAATGATGAATTTGCTTACTATTAACTTACCAGAGAGCAGGGACTCGAGGAAGGAATGGCTAATTTTGAGGAGGGGGAGGAGAAAGAAAGGAGCTGCTGGAGGGGGCATGGCCGGTGCAGCCTGCAGACGAGTGGAGTAGAAGCAGGTGCTCGTCGCTTTCCATCCTCACCAGGTGAGAAGGGGCAGGCTGGAATCTCTGCAGATCCAGAAGCCAGGCCCAGGCAGGGAGACTGTGAGCCATGAAGGTCAGCCCAGGGTCTCCCCCAGAAACCAATGGGTTTCTTATCAAGGAAGAGAAAGAGTATTTCCCTCCTACCACTGGGTGAGCACTGGACTGGGAGCACCGTGACTCCCAGTTTCATCTCTGCCCCTCCCCACTGGCGAGGACTGCTCCATTCGGAGCCTTAGCATCTCCACCTGGGTGGAATTGGTCAAATGAGTTTGGGATTTGCCAACTCTAAATCCAAAGAGCAGAGGATGTGGGGTTCATCCACAGTCCTGGGTTTGAACCCTAGCTTCTGTGCTGTAGTCTTGGACATTAGTCTCCCTGGACCTTTTCCTATGTGTAAAATGAGGCTGAAACGCTTGTCATGTTGCTATGCAGGGGCTGGGACAGCCAAGGTGCTCAAGGAGATACTTTCTGAGCCTCAGTTTTCTCACTCTTAAAATGGGACTAGGAATGCCTCTCTCTGGTCTATTGTGAGGGTCAGAATTTATGAATGAGTGTTTAGATGCTGGGATGCAGGAACAGCTGCCTCCCAGCCACGTTCCCAAAAATAGAGAAGTTGAACTCAGTGGTTTCCAAGATGGGTTCCACAAGGCACCCCAGGGGCCACCAAAGGTTCAAAGGACAAGCTGGGTCCCAAGCCAGCTCCGCCCCAGACAACGCTGCTTGTACCTGTTTTACACATGGGGTTCTTCATGGAATTTTGTTTCAAGGGTTCTATTTCTTTAACGTTTCATTTGAAAATAATTTCAAACTTCAAAAACTCTTAAGAATAGAAATAGTACATAGAAACAGGAACACCTACAGACTCTATGAATTGTTGACATCCTACCTCCTCCGCTTCATCATTTTCTTTCTCTCTCTGCATACATAATTTTTTTTCTGAATTGTGTAGGGGTACGTTCCATACATCTGGGTCCTTTACCCCCAAACACTGTCCTAGGTATTTTGTGGCATACATATGTATGTAAGATTACATAACTCTTACATAACCACAGTAGAGTTGTCCATTGCATAAATTTACATTAATACAATGGTTTTTATCTAAACTTCCAGGTTGTCACGTGACTTAATAAGGTCCTCTTTAGAATTTCCCCCTCAAGTTCAGGATCTAGGGAAGGGTTAGATGTTGCATGTGCTTGTCATGTGTCTTTAACCTCCTTTAATTTGGAATATCTCAGATCTGTTGCGGAATGATGGAAATACAGTCTGAGGAATGTGTCATTTGGCAGTTTGACTGTTGAGCAAACATCTTAGAGCTACTCACTCAAACCTAGATGGCACAGCCTACTATCCCCTGGGCTATATGGTCTCGCCCATTGGCCCCAGGCTACCACCCTCTACAGCATGTGACTGTACTGAAAACTGCAGGCAAGTGTAGCTCAGTGGTCAGTATTTGTGTATCTGAACATAACTAAATGTAGAAAAGGTACAGGAAAAATCTGCGTTATGATCTTACGGAACCGCCGTCATATATGTGGTCCATCGTTGACCAAAACTTCGTTATGCCTCGCGTGACTATATTTCCACAGCCTTTAACGATAATGGATGTTTTTTTAATGATAATTGAGGGATACTGGTTTTTTTCTCCGCCCCCCACCTTTTCTTAATGAAAGTTCCTCATTTGGTGTTTGTCAGATGTTTCCTGATGATTAGATTGAGGTCAGGCATTCTCAGCCAGATCCCAACTGACTTCAGTTCTGACTTTGACATTCAGCAATTTTAGAATGAGGTCCCAGGCATTCAGCTCAGGCCTCCCCTCTGGCAGTTGATCGGGCAGCTGTGTAGTCTATGGCCTTGCTACCCGAGGTGTGGCTGCAGCCCAGCAGCCCTTCATTGAGCCCTGGGAGCTGTGAGTGACCCCACAGAGACAAGTCCTGCCTACCTCCGCCTCTGACCTACTTCCTCCACCACTGACTGCTTTAAGCAGAAAACAGCCCTCCCTGGCCACCACTCCTGACTTCCTCCCTGCCCTAGCCCTGCCTCTAGTCTTCCCAGCCCCCTCACCTCCAGGGAAGATGCCTCACCCACCTGCCTCACTGCAGCGATGCAGGCAACAGTAGCTTGATGTGGTACCTGCATGGTCCACCTGAAACGGGAATAAAATAGGGCGGGCCACTGGCAAGACCTGTTGGAACAGTGAGGAAAGGGGTAAACATGGAGACACAAGACCTGAGTTAACTGGCCATGCTGCCTTCTCCAGAAAGATAAGGCCAGGATTAAACCTAGAATTCCCTCACTCTAAAGCCTGTGCTTCCATCACCATGCCAGTGGCCGGCCTGGGAATAGACCCCAAGTTTCAGAATCCTGGTCAAGTATGTTTTCTCCTATCACAACCTTAGGGTCCTGGGTTAGGCAAATTGGGGAGTTCACAGAAGCAAATGGCTTTGGATAAACTGGCCCTCCCTCCTGGAGTCAGGAGCAGACTGGATTCTTCAGGGACTTCGTGAGGCTTGGTGAGAGCAGCTAGAACTTCTAGCTGCTAGATTCATCCCTTCTATTACTTTGACAAAGAAGTCATTCCCACCTCTTTGATGTCTGAGACCAGTCATTCAGAGCTGGTCCTGCTGCTGGGGAGAAATAGATTCAAGCCCAGAGAACCCGCCTTAAGATGGGAGGGGGAAAAAGAGGGTAGGGGTGCAGTTCGGGAATCTTCTAATGTGAATCCCAAGCAGGAGGCACCCCAGAGGGTACTGACAGCCAGAGGCTGCCTTTTTAGCTGCTTGAGTAGTCTGTGTAAACAGCCTGATACCACCCCCATGAGCTTCTGGAAATATGGCCCGACTTCCGGGATCGAATACACTCATGCCCAGGTGCTGGGATGTGGGGGCCAGCTGGGTGATGATAGAGTCCCAGGTCCCTTGCCATCCACTTCCCTGGCAGGGACCATAAAGTCAAGAGTCCACAGCTGGTTCAGGCAAGGGCAGCAGCAGAGGATTGGATGGGAGGAGGGCTTTCGATGGGGAGCCCAGGGGCATGGAATAATGGGCCTCATAACATTGACTGGGGGTAGAGAGGACAGGGAGGTAGGTCAAGCTGTTGGTTTTTTTAAATCTTTGTTTAAAAAAATTAAACTGGGCCGGGCGCAGTGGCTCACGCCTATAATCCCAGCACTTTGGGAGGCTGAGGCGGGCGAATCACAAGATCAGGAGATCCAGACCATCCTGGCTAACGTGGTAAAACCCTGTCTGTACTAAAAATACAAAAATTAGCTGGGCCTGGTGCTGGGCGCCTGTAGTCCCAGCTACTCAGGAGGCTGAGGCAGGAGAATCGCTTGAACCAGGAGGTGGGGGTTGCAGTGAGCCAAGATCGCAGCGCTGCACTCTAGCCTGGGCAACAGAGCGAGAGTCGTCTCAAAAGAAAAAAAAAAAAAAAAAAAAGGCTGGGCGCAGTGGCTCACGCCTGTAATCCCAGCACTTTGGGAGGCCAAGACGGGTGGATGACAAAGTCAAGAGATCGAGACCATCCTGGTCAACATGGTGAAACCCCATATCTACTAAAAATACAAAAATTAGCTGGGCATGGCGCACGCCTGTAGTCCCAGCTACTCAGGAGGCTGAGGCAGAAGAATTGCTTGAACCCAGGAGATGGAGGTTGCGGTGAGCCGAGATCACGCCATTGCACTCCAGCCTGGGTAACAAGAGCGAAACTCCGTCTCAAAGAAAAAGAAAACTAAACTGATTTTTGATGATCAAAGTCACTCATGTTTATTGTTGCAAATTGATCAATAGTATGTTGGTGAATTTCTTTGTAGTCTTTTTGTGATAACTACAGATAGATAGCTAGGTAATTGGTTAAGGAAAGGTAGATAGATAATTGGTTAAGGAAACATTTGCTGCTATAACAGATAAACCCTCCTATTTCTAACTCAACAGAAGTGTATTTCTCACTCATGTAAGTCCAGTTGTATGGAGAAGGGTTGGGAGTGGAGGGCCATGCTCCATATGGTCATTCAGGGATCCATGCATAGGAAGGCTTCCTAGGTCTCCCTAGGGATTGACAGGAAGAGGGGTCATGGACATCTGAAAGACAGCTTTTTCACCCCATAACACAAATGGAGTGCAGGCCCCCTAAGATGTCATGTTCTAAGGCTTATAGGATACATTCCCCTCCTGTCTTCCATAATAATTATGTCTAGCATTTACTACTCCATGCTAATCACCTTCCATCTGTCTTGTCATCCTCACAGACACTTCAGGGGATGTGGACACTGTGATTATCCCCATTTTACAGCTGAGAAAACTAAATCTCAATGAGGTTAAGTAGCATGCTTAGGGTCACACCTGAGTAGGTGAGTGGTTGACCTGAGACTTGAACCTGGGTCCTTTGCTGAAACCCAGGACCCCCCGGCCTCTCCAGCCTGCCTCCCCAGGGCATCCTGAGGTCAGAGATGACCTCAGAACAGACAGACACAAGCCATGGCTGCATTTTGCAGTGCCTGCAATCTCATCCCTTCTCAAGCCAGAGTGGGACTTTGTGGCTTCAGGCCTCAGAGCCCACAGCCTGCGTAGCTGACTGGCTTGCGGGGTGAACTCTCTGAAGAGGAACCCAGGGAACTGGAGTGATTTCCTCAGGTATACACTGTTGCTGAGAGCAGAACTGAGACTTAACCAACCTCTGTGCAAAGTGCAAGCAACCAAACAGGGTGGCTTCAAGGAGCTCAGTGGGAGGGAGGAGGCTGGCTTCTGATCTCATGACAGCCACAGACTTTACAAGTGACCTCCAACCAACCATTTCTCCTGCCTAGGCTTCAGTTCTGTCATCTGTGCAGCTGAGAGTTCTGACTAGATCAGTGTAGTTTCCTAACTATTCCCAGGAAACTCTCTAGGGGCCACAGACATAGCTGGGGGCCACCTTGGGGACAGTAGAGGGTCGTGGTTGAAAGGACATGAGCAGGCCAGCCCTGTTGCTCCACCTTGAGTCAACCAGAGAAGCTCAACTCTGTATAAGGTTCCCATTACCAAAGCCTTCCTCTGCAAACACAGATTTGAAGTCCGCTCTTCTGAATGGTCTCTAATTCTTGGTATCATACATTTTTATCAAGTAAATTCATTCATTCAGTGATTCAGCAAACTTTTTTTGACAATGAGCAAAACTTAGGAAGACCCAGTCCATGTTTTTAGGATGTTCACAATTCAAGCGAAAAACAAACATTAAACAAGCAAGCATCTTGCAATGTGATGATGATATTCATTCATGCGTTTAGCAAATACGTTCATTAAACACCTACTATAGGCCAGGCACCACTGAGGTGTCAGATATGAAGACTGAGCAAGGTAAGGTCCCTGCCTGAATAAAACTTACATTCGAGTGGGGGAGATAAACAATAACAAGTAAACAGAAATGCAAAATATATCCCCCAAGGTGAAATGTGCAACTGGGGTGGATAAAGCAGGGTCGGGGCATCTGGGGAGTGTTGGAAGAATTTGCTGTCCTGGGGCAGGGTGGTCAGGGAAGGCCTCTCTGAGTTAACGTGTGATATTGATTTTCCCATTCTGCAATGCCAGAACTGGGGAGAACCATTACAAAGACATTGGGCCTAGTAGAGGAGGTCTTCAAGGAAGACTTCCAGGAGGAAGAAAGTGACTTTAAGTGGGAATTGTGATGGAGAGCAAGGGCCAGGGCAAGGCAGTGTGATGAGCCTCGTGCTGCCCCAGAGTTGCAGCACCAGCCACTGGCTTTCAATAAGAGCCCAGTCAACAAATGGGGGCCCGGGTGGGGCAGGGGGAGTAGTTTTGATAAGATGCTCAATCCTTTCCTCTCCATCAGGGTCTGCAAACTGTGGCCCTCCCAGCCATCTCTGGCGCACCACCTGATTTTGCAAAACAAGTTTTATTGGAACACAACCCATACATATAGTCAGCATCTAGGGCTGCTTATGTTCTAAGTACTGAGTTGAATATTTAGGACAGAGACCGTGTGGCCCATGAAACTAAACATATTTACTTTCTGGCCTTTTACAGAAGAAAATTTGCTAGCCCCTCTTTTAGACAATGCTTCTTCGCTCTGTCACCCTGGCTGGAGTACAGTGGCACAATCATAATTCACTGCGGCCTCCACCTCCCGAGCTCAAGCAGTCCTCCTACCTCAGCCTCCAGAGTAGCAGGGACTATGGATGCATTCCACCACACCCCGCTGATTTTTTTTTTTTTTTCCAGTAGAGACAAAGTCTCACTATGTTGCCCAGGCTAGAGTTAGGGCCTTTCTAATCCTCACTGTCTGTGTGACCCAGCTGAGTACTGTTCAGCTAATTTTGATCTTAAAACAGAGCTTTCCTTCTCCAAAATCTCCCAGCCAAAGAAACATGCATAAAGCCCCACCCAGGGTTTTGAATTGTGATCGGCTACCCCCATAACTACAGATGGCAACCAGATGTGACTGGGCAAAAAAGAAAACAGAAATCACCAGGAAGCAGAGGCTACAGCCAGCAGGGCTTTTGGATGCACAGCCAAATGGACGTGATCTCTGGTCCACCCAAGACAGATGTTCAGCTCACAGGGGAAATATTTTGCAGCCAGCATCCCAATGGTGCTTCCTGAGGCCCTGATGTGGTCAGGGCTGAGCCCTGAGCCTGGGGTTCCAGGCTTCTCAGGAAGGAGAGTGCAGTCCTAACTGCCAAAATGATGGGCTGGGGCCCTGTGCGTTTAAACGATGCTTGAAGCTTGTGTTGGTCCGTGAGGAGCTATCACGCCTGTATGGATATTTTCTCATGAATGTCAACAGCCAGAGACCCAGATTCTAGTCCCAGCTCCGCTGCTGATCAGCTGTAGGGCGCTGAGCCTCAGTGTCCTCACAGTGTGGTTGGATGTGATGAACTAAGGCCAATGGTGTGCTCGAGTCGGCTCGCAGCAGCTCGTGGGAGCTCACTGTGTGCATCTCTGCCCAGCTGTGTTCATGTTGGCAGCGTGAAGTTCGAAGTTGTGGAAATATTTAGATTATGGAAATTGGCAGATGCTACAAATCAAGGTTGATTTTTTTTCCTGCAGAAAGCCAGTTGTTAAGCATTTCCCAGCACACCACTATGTAAGGCCCACAGCACATCCGGTGCCTATGACCATGACCTCCCCCTGGCAGGACAGAGTGGTACCCAGTAAGAACATACATGGGGCACAGTTCAGTCCACTGGCAACAGCCTACATCCCAAGCCTATGCTGGGGGCTGGAAAGGCAGTGATGCAAGAGAGGCTCAGAGAGGGTTAGTGACTCACCTTGGCTCACACAGCCTCCATCCCTGCCTTCCCAGGCAGGAGGAACCTATGTGTGCAAAGTCCTGGAGAAGGGAGCGTGCACTCAGAGGTCAGGGAATGGGCTGTGGTGCAGCCCAGTGAGATGTTATGTGGGAAGGTGATGGAGGCAGCATGTCATCTCAAGTTGGAAGATGGAAAGTGGAGTAAGTACCAGGAACCCTGGGGCAGCCCAGGAGGACTTCTTAGAGGAGGTAGATCTTGAAGGAAGACAGTCGAATTAATAGGAACATGGGATTGTCAGCCAAGATTCCTCAAGGAAAACATGGGGAGAAGAGCAAAGGACCTTCCATAGCCAGGGGGCACAGAGCCGCAGTCCTGGGCTCCTTCCCTTCCTGTTCCCCTCACACCCACACGGCCCGCCCTGAAGTCCCCAGACCTAGGGCCCTAGTTGGCCCATCCTTTGGCTGAAAGTCCTTATTCCCTCAAGCAGGGTTTCTCACCCATGGCCCTGTGGACATCTGGGGTGTCCTCTGCATCACATGATGTCATCAGCGCCAGTGTTGCTGGCCCATTTTGCAGATGTAGAAACTGAGTGTGGCCAGAAAGGCGGGTCATTAGGCACAGCATTGTCTAAAAAATTAAACAAGTACGGGCCATGAGCAAACCCACATTCACTGGACAAAAATGACAGAGGCCTCCAGGGTGCCAGTGGTATACTGCAGGAGGCCGCCTAGGCTGCAAGGGAAGATGGGAAATGGAGTCTTTATTGGCTAAAAGTCCTGTCCTGGCTAAAAGGAATTTTAGAATAGAGTTTGAAAATAGAGACTTGGGCTGAGCATACAGTGGCTCACACCTGTAATCCTAGCACTTTGGGAGGCTGAGGCGGATGGATCACTTGAGGTCAGGAGTTCAAGACCAGCCTGGTCAACATCACAAAAGCCCGAATCTACTAAAAAAAAAAAAAGAAATACAAAAATTAGCTGGGTGTGGTGGCCAGCGCCTGTAATCCCAGCTACTCAGCAGGCTGAGGCAGGAGAATCCTCAAACCTGGGAGGCAAAGGTTGCAGTGAGCCAAGATCGCACCACTGCACTCTGTCCTGGGAGACAAAGTGAGACTCCATCTACAAAAAAGAAAAAGAAAATAGACACTGGACAACGCAGGAGGAAGGGACGCAACTGCTAGTCACACCAGGCTAGAACTGCAGGCAAGAAACACAAGGCCCCCTGGGTCGGCTGAATGTGACCCTGAAATCACAGCCCCTGGCAGGGCCGTGGACTTCAGCCTGGGAGGGTCCTACGGACAGGAACTGCCTCTGACTCACATCCTCTGTCTCCCTGTCTGCAGGCCCAGCCCTGGTGATCCTTGACCAAGTGCTGGTTTTGCCAGCCTTGGCCCCAAGAACAAGGCCAGGATTTGGGGGAGGTGAGGGAGACACTCATCTTAGGGACAGAATGCAGGGGAATGCCCTAGAAACTCAACCACAAAGATAAATTATGTGTGTGTGTGTGTGTGTGCGTGCACGTGCGCGCGCGTGTGTGTGTGTGTATATATATATATATATACACACACACACGCACACACAGACACACACACATAATTTTTAAAACAATTTAGTGGTTTTCGGTATATTTGCAAGGTTATGTGACTAAAACTACTCCAATTCCAAAACTCTGTACCCATTAGCAATCACTCCCCATTCTCTTTTCGGCCCAGCTCCAGGCAACCACTCATGTGCTTTCTGTCCCCGTGGGTTTGCTTATTCTGGACATTGCATACAAATGGAATCATATCATACGTACACTATGTTGTCTTCCGTGGCTGGCTTCTTGCACTTAGCATAATATCTTCACAGTCTATTGGTATCACAGTGGCCAGGCACGGTGGCTCACACCTGTCATCCAGCACTTTGGGAGGCTGAGGCGGGCAGATCATTGAGCCTAGGACTTTGAGAACAGACTGGGCAACATGGCAAAACCCCGTCTCTACCCAAAAAAAAAAAAAAAAAGCCAGTCTCATAACCTAGTCTCAAAGAAATGAATAAATATCAGTATCACAGGATGTATGAGTAGTTTGTTCCTTTTCATTCCCAAAGGCTATTCCGTGGTCTGCATGCACCACATTTTGCCTGTGTATCCACAAGTAATGGACACATGGAGCTGTCTCCGCTTCTTGGCTATTGTGACCAATACTGCCATGAACATTTGTGTGCAGGTCTTTGTGTGGAAATATCTTTTTGTTTCCCTCAGGTGTATATATAACTAAGAGTGGAACTTTGGGCTCATGTGACAAGATAAGTACTATTTTAATGCAGTATTTTTTTTAAATAAAAATTAATGCAAAAGTCATGATGAATAAAATATTGACTTTTTTTTTTTTTTTTTTTTTTTGAGATGGAGTCTCACTTTGTTGCCCAGGCTGGAGTGCAGTGGTGCCATCTCGGTTCACTGCAACCTCCACCTCCCAGGTTTGAGTGATTCTCGTGCCTCAGCGTCCTGAGTAGCTGGAATTACAGATGCAAACCAATTTTTGTATTTTTAATAGAGACAGGGTTTCCCCACATTGGCGAGGTTGGTCTTGAACTCCTGACCTCAGGTGATCTACCTGCCTTGGCCTCTCAGCATGCTGGGATTACAGGCATGAGCCACCATGCCTGGCCTTCACATTTTTGGCTGTTTTTTTTGTTTGTTTGTTTTTTGAGATGAAGTCTCACTCTGTCGCCCAGGCTGGAGTTCAGTGGCACAATCTTGGCTCACTACAACCTCTACCTCCTGGGTTCAAGCAACTCTCCTGCCTCAGCCTCCCGAGTAGCTGGGACTACAGGCGTGTACCACCACACCTGGCTAATTTCTGTATTTTTAGTAGAGACAGAGTTTTACCATGTTGACCAGGATGATCTCAATCTCTTGGCCTCATGATCCACCCACCTCAGCCTCCCAGAGTTCTGGGATTACAGGCGTGAGCCACCGCGCCTGGCCTTCAGATTTTCAGTGAAGTCAGGCTGTCTGTTTTATGATCCTGTGCTTCTGTGCCACAGGAGTGGTCTTTTCCAATCAGCCTGCAGTTCCCAGCCCACATACATTTGTGACAGCTGACGCTAGCAAACAGATTGGCAGCCAGATTTTAGATATAGTCATTGTTTCTTGAGTGTAGCGCATTCATTAACTTTTTCCACCTGGTTCAAAATCTGACGGGCTGTTTTGATAAACATGTGTGGGGCACACAGTTTTCCTTTGGCCTCAGGCCTCATTATGGCTTTGACCACCTGCCCCATTTCAGTTAATCCTCAAACATCCTCAGGCACCTTGTTCTCCAACCTCCCTGCCAAGGAGAGAGGAAGGAAGGAGCTTGCTACAGTCCACAGCTGGTGAGTAGTGGAGCTGGGATTTGAACCCAGGTCTAGGATTGGAGACCCTGCCTTCACACTGCACCTTTCAGCAGTGTAGCCTGTAGTTGCCCAGGAGGGTCAATTTAGGTCTCTGAAGTCTTCTTTTCAGGGAGGCCACAGCCTCACTGTTACCAGGACAGATGCGGACGTGCAGAGTTCACTATGAAATTTGGCAACCTGGGCAACATGGCGAAACCCCATCTCTACAAAAAAATATATATACATACAAAAATTAGCCAAGCATGGTGGTGTGTGCCTATAGTTCCTGCTACTAAGGAGGCTGAGGTGGGAAGATTGCTTGAGCCCAGGAAATGGAAGTTGCAGGTGAGCTAAGATCAAGCCACCACACTCCAGCCTGGGTGACAGAGTGAAACCGTGTTTCAAAGGCGGGGCACTGTGGCTCACACCCATAATCCCAGAACTTTAGGAGGCTGAGGCCAACATGGTGAAACCCCGTCTCTACTAAAAATACAAAAATTAACCAGGAGTGGTGGCACATGCCTGTTGTCCCAGCTACTCGGCAGGCTAAGGCAGGAGAATTGCTTGAACCCTGGAGGCGGAGGTTGTAGTGAGCCGAGATCACGCCACTGCACTCCAGCCTGGGTAACAGAGCATGACTCTGTCTCAAAAAAAATAAAAAGAAATTTGCTTCCTCCCCTGGAAGTGCTTGCCATGAGCTACGCTGAGGCAATGGGAGGGCCATCACTGAGTGAAACACCCCCGTGTGCCGTAGGAACTTGCCACTTAGGCCTCTCATGTCCCCAAATGAAGCCATCTGTGAAAAATTTACTTTAAAGCTAAGAGTTAGAAAAATAATTTGGTTCCCCCAAGAAATAGGTGTATTTTTTCTTCATGGACAGTGAGAATGTAACTGATTGTGCTTTCCTCTTTGCTTTGGCCAGCAGGAAATTCAAAGCCAAATTTGCTGCTGTAAAAGAGTAGTTGTATAGGTTCTTGCTTATTTGTTGTTGTTTTTTGGTTTTTGGGTTTTTTTCTTTTTTGAGAAGGAGTCTCACTCTGTCACCCAAGCTAGAGTGCAGTGGAACGATCTCGGCTCACTGCAACCTCCGCCTCCCGGGTTCAAGTGATTCTCCTGCCTCAGCCTTTCAAGTAGCTGGAACTACAGGTGCCTGCCACTATGCCTGGCTAATTTTTCTTTTGTATTTTTAATAGAGACGGAGTTTCACTATATCGGCCAGGCTGGTCTCGAACTCCTGACCTTGTGATCTGCCTGCCGTGGCCTCCCAAAGTGCTGGGGTTATAGGCGTGAGCCACTGGCCCCAGCTGACTGTTTATTTGTATTTTTATGTTTCCTATAGTATCGTCCCTCTGGTAATTTATGTTTGTCCTGATGGTTTTCAAATTTTTATTTAGATGTTACTGTTTTATCAGGTATATTTCCTGATGGTCACTTAAATCTTTGCGAACATGTTAAGAAATACACTTTTTGCAGGAGGTATAAATTGCTTGGCCTGTGCTTGGATGGATCATTCATCTCACCCAAATCACAAAGGTAGCAGCACCAGCATGGGTTATTCTGGGGCCACATTCAGAGCTGGTAACCCCCAGCTGAGTCTGGAGACCTTTGCCTGAGCCTGGACTCCCTTTGCTTAGAGGAAGTGAGAAGTGGGCTGGGGACCAGGCGCGGCCATTCCCACCATGCAGAACTGCTCACCCAAGCCTCATTTTCCCAGTGCACATGCAGAGGCTGGCCACAAGGCCAGCTAAGGGCCTGCAGGGAGATTCTGTTCTGCTCAGAATTCTCCACCCACAGTTCTAGCCTTGGGCTTTGTGTTGCCAAACGGGCTATCTTCAGAGCCAGCCGAGAGCACACCGGGAAGGCATCTTTCGGACCCAACTTCCACCCGCCTTTCTGCCATTGTTCCTTTATAGAGCGCCCTCCACCTGCCATGCCAGGCGTCTGTTGCTGGATGCTCTGAGCCCTGTGAACATCACCCTCAAAGACAGTAGTAATGAGTTGATACTTCCGGGGGTCTTTACATTTTAAAAGGCGGCCTTAGGATAGGGCACTGTTTAACCTAAAGATAGGAAGAAGGCTGAATGGTGACCTTTCAGGTCTCGGAGTATCTGGGTGAGGGAAGAGGTTTCTGTTTTGCAGGTGGCAGGGAGATGTATGCTTAATGGGGACAGAGAACCTTCCCAGAACCCATGAATGCTTCTGGGTGGGTCTGCAAATAGGTGTGACGTGAATCTGACTGTCAAGCAAGCAGCAAGGGGCAGTCATGGGGAGGGAGGATTAGGAAAGGGGAAGGTCAGGGTCTTGCTCATCCCAGCTGAGGGCACTTTCTCAGTTCCTTCTTCGTAAACCTGGACTGTTTCTCAGGCCTTCCGAGGAGGCTGCTACCTGGGTCTTCTCTGTCCTGAGAGTGAGTCATGAGAGAAGGAACATTCCTCTTCCAGGGATCGCCACCCACACTCAGCAAACCACTGTCCCCTACACTGGGCAGAGGGCATCTCCCAAGGAGAGCCTGGAACTCATCTCCCTCTGCCTCCTTCTTCTTCCCAGGGAAGCCCTATGGGGCGGATGACTTCCTGCCTGTGCTCATGTATGTGCTGGCCCGCAGCAACCTCACGGAGATGCTTCTCAATGTGGAGTACATGATGGAACTCATGGACCCCGCCCTGCAGCTGGGGGAGGGTGAGTCACCACCCCCGACCCATCGGGTGCATTGCACACCCCCAACTCAGCCACACCACGGGCACTCCAGGTGGCCCAGTAGCACCTGCCGGATACCAGACTCATGGAGCTCTGGAGCTATGAATGTGAATGTGAATCCTACACAGGTCCTATCTGGCAGGAGCTCACAGATTAGGAGAAAACATGAGCCAGTCCAGAGACTGTGCCACCTCCATGTAACAAGTGCTGGAATAGTTGGAAGCCCAGAAGGCATGGGAGCATGTTACCCAGACTGTGTGGTCAGGGAAGGCTTCTTGGAGGAGGTGACTTCTGAGCTGAGCAATGAAGGATAAATAGGAGCCAGCTGATAAAAAAGGGAAAAGGTTTTTAGTAGGAACAGCAGGAGCTGGTAATGTAAAAGATGGGGTGAAGTGGCATGTAGTGCTCACAGTAAGTCTGACAGAGAGTGATGATTAGTTCTTAGATAGGGGTGGTCCCAGGCCCCTTACTCATAAGCCCTGGGTCAGGACCTCTCATCAGGGGGAGGTTAATGATCTGGGTAAGAAGCCTTGCATTCCCCAATAGGATGAAGGCAGAGGTGTGGTTTGGTCCACCCCATGTTCAGTTTCCCTTCCCCTTTTCTCCTTCTCACCACATCCTCCCACCCACTTAGCCTCAGCAGCCTGTCTACCAAGAATTTTTTGAGGGGCAGCCACCCAGATACCAGCTCTGACGGAGCCCTGAGTTCTCCTCTGAGACATCAGCCTCAAAGGATGGAACCATCCTCCCAGGCCCTGAGGGTCCCCCTTGGGCTTTGTGGTTCTTGAGATGAGCAGACTGTCTTTGCATCTGTTCGCATTTTTTTGCATGTTCCAGTCTCTGGGGTGATAGTTTGATAAGATAGTTCCGTGAGTTGTTGACAGCTCAGGGGAGCGTGTTAAAGGCATGACATTTGCTGTCATATATAACTTTGGCTTGTGTCACTGGGACCTCTGTATCTACCTTTTTTTCTCTTTAGTTAAAAATGTCCTGTAATTGGAACAAGTAGTCTTCCAAGAGGTCCAGGTATTCGAGAGAAGCCAAGGTTTCTTCAGCCCAGTGCAGCCATATACTCATCCATCTATTCATCTATCTATCCACATAGCCATCTATCCACCCACCCGTTCACCTTCCCATCCATCCATGCATCCACTCATCCATCCAACCACCCAGCCATCTACCCATCCACCCACCCATCCATCCGTCTGGTCATCCACCCACCCATCATGCATCCATCCAGCTATCCACTCATCCACCCACCTACCCACCCATCCACATATTCACTCATCCATCCACATATTCATCCACCCATCCACATATCCATCTACCCATCCACCATTCATACATCCACCCACCCATCTGTCATTTATTCATCTATTCAGCCATCCACCTACCCATCCATCCATCCATCCATCCATCCACTCATCCACCCACTCCTCTACCCATCCACCCACCCATTCACATATTCACCCAGCCATCCACATAACCATCTACCTATCCACCCACTTATTTATCCACCCATCCACATATCTACCTACCCA